CCGCCCCCCCCCCCCCGCTTCCCTGGCCTCCAGACGCTTTTGACGGATGCAGTTTGGTGACTCCGGACTGTCGGCTGGCTGCTTGTGTTTTGGATCCCACCCCCCACCCCCGCAGGGGGGGAGAAGAGGGCCGCGCAGTGTCCTGTGCCACAGGTAGCCAATAAACCATGTCATTACCAAGCAGGAAATTCTGGGTGGTGCCTTCCCGTCTTTACCCCCCACCTACACCACAGGGCTGATTTTGGGGGAGGGTGTCTTTGAAAAGGTACACGTTGGCAGTGGGGGAGTTGCGCAGTTTCTCTTCACACTTGTTTGAGCCTGAAGTCTCTTCTCTGCTGTCCTCTGAGGCCACAGGAGCTGCCGGTGCAGAGGAGCAGAGCCCTTCCCATGAATTTCCCCCGAGAGGAGGACTCAGTTTGATTTAGTGTCTGTGTGTGAGGGGGGTGGGGGTGGCCAGGACCATTAGCATGCGGGGAGCAGCCCCGGCAGAGCAGGGAGGCCACGTTCCAGCCGCCATTTGCTGCAGAGCAGGGAGAAGACCGAGCTTTTGGTGTCTCTTTTAGTGTCTTTAGGAGCTGCGGTGGCTCAAGGGGTTAAGACGCTGAACTGCAGGCTGCGGAAGGTCGGTCGTTCAGCAGTTCGAGACCCGAGTGTGCCGCATGACGGAGTGAGCTCCCGTCTCTAGTTCCAGCTCCTGCCAACCTAGCAGTTCGAAAGCAAGACATTGCAAGTAGATAAATAGGGACCACTTCGGTGGGAAGGGAACAGCGTTCCGTGCGCCTTGGTGTTTAGTCGTGCCGGCCACATGACCACGGAGACGTCTTCGGACAGCGCTGGCTCTTCGGCTTGGAAAGGGAGATGAGCACCGCAACCCTAGAGTTGGATTCGACTGGCTTTCGAGCAAGGGACACCTTTACCTTTACCTTGGTGTCTTTGGGGTGGGAGGGAGGACCCCGAGGAACTCAGCAGCCCTTTCCTGCTGCACCAAGGAGGCGGTGTGCGATAAAGGGCATTTCCCCTCAGTGCTTGAGCTCCCTTTGTCCTGAGGGGCTCCTTCGTCTCTTCCAGGGCCTCGAACCCAGAGCGGATTGGTGCAGCCAAGCCCTGCCTCGGGCCACACCTCTGGGCAAGTGGGCGGGCGAGAACTTGGGCCTTCTGGCTCTGATCTCAGCCGGTGCCGCTTCTCTGGGTCTTAATCTGAACCAGGATGTAGGTTCGGTCTTTGAGCGTGAGAAACTCGAGCTCTGAGGATGTGCCTTCAGTGATGGCGAGTGTGCTGTGTGCCCCCCCACCCGGGTGCACGACTTTAGGCCTCCGGGTTTTTGGCCAGGCCTCCTCCTGTGGGAATGGCCTGCTCCGTGCAGCGTCTCCCCCCCCCATGGTGGGCTCGGTGCCCTTGCCCAGGCCGAGGGGGCTCTTCCCTTGGCAGGGCCCTCATGTTCCCACTGCCTGGTTGCAAAGGCGCCATTGTCTGCCTGCTGGGCTGGAGCACAGAAGGCCCGTTTTCTCTGCCAGAGAGCGCAGCAGCAGCTGTGCCTTCGAAGGCAGCCGGCGCTGGGTCTGGGGCGTGAGGGCCGGTCGTCTGAGGCCACGGGAAGCCCTGCAGAGGCTGAGCTTGCGCCTGGGCCTCGGCAGGAGTCTCGTTTGCCCTGGGAGGGCGGAGACGGGGCGGGTGGGCCTGAGACGGTCACCTCGGGATCTTGTGTCCGTGCCGGGACTCGCGTGAGGAGGGCGAGGGAGAGAAGCGGGGCCGTCCTTGGCGTGACTCATCCGCCAGGCCAAAGAGTTCTTTGCCCCTTAGGGATTTCTTCACCACCGCTAAGGATGAGAGTGCTGGTGATTTCCACCAGTGTCCCCCTCAGGACTTGGAAGAGCCCCTACAGAAGGTGCCGGCACTCAGTACCACTCCCCGCCGCCTTCCCCCAAGCCTTGATAGATCACAACGTCTCCTCAAGAAAACCACTCCACAGACGCCACCTTGTCTGCTTCCCCCCACCGAGACCCTGCCTTCGGTCCTGTGCCTGAGGGACTGTTTGAAGAGGGACAGCCCCCCTCTCTCCAGGGATTACGTCCTGGCACCCCTTTGCCACGCCTGTGCCCTGGAGCGCAGCGTGCCTCTTGCCCTGTGCAGATGGCGTCCTTCCCACCAAGCTGTCGCCACAGCTGGCCCTCTCTCCGTGGGGGTGCAGAGACAGATGTGCTCGTCTACTGGATTTCATCTCGCCTCTCTCCACCGAGCTCCAGATCCTGTGCCTGTAAGTGTCCTGGCTGAAAAAGGATTTGAACCCGGGTCTCTCTGTTGCCGGTGGCTTCTGGTATCAGGAGGCATTTCAGTCTCTGGAAAAGCTAATGGCCGCTTTTTGCCCCCCCCGGTGCCCCGTGAGGGAGCGTGGCTGTTAATTGGGCGTGAAGCAGGGTGGCTGGCCAGTGTTCCCTCTAAGCCGAGTTAGCGTGAGCCAGCTCACAGTTTTTTAGCCTCCGGCTCACATATTTGTCTTAGCTCAGGAAGGGTGGCTCCAGTGCAAACTAATTTATGCAGTAGCCAAATCACCTGCTCACAGCTTTAATGCCAGTAGCTCACAAAGTAGAATTTTTGTTCACAAGACTCCACAGCTTAGAGGGAACACTGGACTGGCTGCGCCAGGTGGCAGCACCCCCCCCCCCCGTCTGTGAAGAAGCCCTTCAGGATCCATTCATCCTGTTTTTAGTGTAATGTTGCTGACCACAAACGGGCCTCAATTATTAATGTACACTTTAGAATGCCTGCATGAATCATTCATAGCATCCTTCCAGTCTGCTGTTTGTAAAAGCTTCATAAACTCCAAACTTAACTAGCGGTGGAACTCTTGGGCCCAGGAAAAGAGCTGGATTATGAAACTTTACCAAAGGTTCCTTTCCCCAAAACGGTAGCTTGCCTCCAAGTTCATCAGGAGGCTGTGGCTCAGTGGCGGAGCGTCTCTTTGGCACACAGAAGGTCCCAGGTTCGATCACCAGTCTCCGGCCGGGACCAGAGCTACAGGGGGGCCTCTCATTCTGGAGAGCTTCCCTTTGTCAACTACCAGCTTGCAGCTGGACGGTCCCAGTGTTTGAATTGTCTCTTTGGCACGCAGAAGGTCCCACCAGTTCGATCACCAGTCTCTCCGGCCGGGACCAGAGTTACAGGGGGGCCTCTCGTTCTGGAGAGCTTCCCTTTGTCAACTACCAGCTTGCAGCTGGACGGTCCCAGTGTTTGAATTACTGTGGTGAATTCCAGGGTGGAGGACGTCTCTTTATTTTGCAATCCTGTGCACAGATATATGGGAGTTGTTGTTCAGTCGCACAGTGGAGTCCGACTCTCCGCGACCCCATGGACCAGATCTCGCCAGGCCCTCCTGTCTTCCGCCGTCCTCTGAAGTTGGCTCAACTTCATGGTCGTTGCACCTATGACACTGTCTAACCATCTCCTCCTTTGCCGTCCCCGTCTTCTTTGACCTTCAGTCTTTCCCAGCATCAGGGTCTTCTTCTCCAGGGAGTGCTCCCTTCTCATTGGGTGGCCAAAGTATTTGAGCTTCAGTTTCATTATCTGGCCTTCCAGGGAACAGTCAGGGTTGATTTCTTTTAGGATTGACTGATTGGATCTCCTTGCAGTCCAAGGGACTCTCAAGAGTCTTCTCCAGCACCATAGTTCAAAAGAATCTATTCTTCGGCGCTCGACCTTATAGTCCAACTCTTGCAGCCATACATGACTACTGGGAATACCATTGGTTTGAACCTGCGGACTTCTGTTGGCAGGGTGATGTCTCTACTTTTTATCATGCTGTTAAACCATGCCAAATCCAGCAGGGACTAACTTCTGATAACATATGCGTAGATCACATTACATCACTGGCTACTGGGTTTTTAAAAGTGTTTACTGGAAATCTGTAGCAAACCTACTATTTTCAGTTTTAGAGAAAAATAACTTTTCCCCCTTACCTGCCAGGTAGCAAAAAAGCATGGGCAGAATGGAATACGGTTTCTTTTCTCTTTCTTCCTGAGAATAGAACAGAAATTAAAAAGAAGCAGGAAAGGCAGCCACAATAAAGTTTGAGTCCAGCGGCGCCTTTAAGGCCAGCAAAGTTTTATTCAAGGGATAAGCTTTTGTGTGCACGCACAGTTTTTCAGATACAATGAAATGGAAATTACCAGTCCATACATATAGGCAGAGGGTGAGCAGTAAATTAGCACACAGCATAATGAAGAAGAAGAAGAAGAGATTGGATTTATACCCCGTCCTTCACTTGGAGTCTCAGAGCAGCTTACAAACTCCTT